TGTGGTACATGCTAAAAATCATATATTGGCCAAATATCTAGATGCTTAAAAGAGCGTATAACATCCCACAGGAGCGACTGTAGACTACACCCTGAACGTTGTGCATTGGCTGACCATATTATAGACTATGAAAATTAGAAAGAGAAACTAACACCCCAAAAAGACAATTCTTAGAAATGTCACACATTTATCAACACGAAATGAGCATCAACAAAAGATCAGATATTAAACATGTAAGTGAGATGTTTTCCTATCTTTTATATTTGGATAAGCATGGAGATATCGGTATGGACAACACAGGGTTGTCTGAGTTGTAGTTTTTGTTAACATATTTTTCAAATTGCATTCAATCCAAATGTTACTAGTTCTGTGGGTGATGTCAGAATATGTGAAAGAGGGTCATTAAATATTTAATTGACGAGCCTCACGTACTTGGTGACATCACAAACAGACTAGTCTCATATATTTTCATCAAATCAAAATTTCATCCGTATAATGTCTTTTCAATTTTTTCAATTTAATTTTACTGTTCAGTGATGTTAATAAAATTTTTTCCATTGTAGGTAATGTGTAATAATTATAATATTGACTATTTAACACTTATTTCATTTTTGCTATTAAAACTACATGCACTAACTCTGCTCGTGATATTGTCAGGTGAGTGAATAGTATGATCCAGGATGAGGGGATAGCAACCCTAAAAATGGTATTGTGCTCAGAGGGCAACGTCGCTTGCATGATTAGTGACATTTTTAAAACAAATCAATTTTCTCCGTACAATCAATAGTCAGATAATAATTATAACACAAAAATATAATTTTGTTTTCTTCGTATATGTTAGTCATCGGTCAAGTTTTTCATTGGGTGATGGTTTTACCCTTTGTGCTAAGGTGACATAGGCCACATAGTGTTCTTCTTTTTTGCCGTTGACAGGTTTGACTAATGACTAACATATGACTTATTATTTCATTTTTCGCTCGTTTTATTGGTTTTCATAACCCACGTTGTGAACCACTTGTTGGTTATCCACTTGTTTATGCTGCGTTTGAAAACTACCTCGTTTTGCTCTTTTTACTCGAAGCCGTTCTTTTAATACATCTGCGGCTTCTCGATGGAATCTGCTCCCTGGTATTTTAATACAGAGCTTGTAAATCGAGTAAGATCTATTTATTCCGAATTAAATTTTAGAGCTTTCGGAGTAAATGTAATTTCTGTGACAATTGACAAAAGTAGATGTACTTTTCTGATATGTACAGACATCGTTCGTTGTCTCTTGTGTTGCAGTTTATTCTTTCAAGTGTTTGGTTATAAAAAAAAATATTTATAAAAAATGTCAGATAGAAATGAGAACATGGTTTATTTTATAAATTAATTTTACTTTGCAACTTGCAACAAAAACCACGAGACGAGAGATCAAATTTGATTTAAAAGAAAGGTTTACGTTTGTTATTTTAATGAAAACCGGATACGGGAAACACAAACAAATCCATAGCCGTTCTTTTATTCCACATAAGCTCGATGATCACGTGACTAAAAAATCTACTAGCTCTACTCCGCTCCATGAGGTACTTTTCAAACGTAGCACTAGTATCAATTATCTGTGTTTTTAAAATAGTTTTCGTTTTTGTGCACTGTGATGTCCAATAGTTTTATCTTTAATCAAATGACTACCTTTTACACACCATCCTCAATGAGTATGTAAGTTTAACCATTTTAATCAAATTAACAAAACTTTTTGAACATCTGTTAATAACTTTTGTAGCTCCTTGAAAATGAGTATAACTGTAGCGACATGCACTACATATCTTTATCATTTTTATTACGTCATACGAATTAAATTGTTGTCATCATTTAGACAACCTTTCGTGGCAGTTCTAGCAAGACAAAAGGTTGAACTCATCGGGAGGGAAACAAGAATTGTTTATTTATAATTATGACTTTTGTTTTTTTTTTTGATAATTTATATACATGTCATGACATCGAGTTTAAATATACGAAATTATACTTTTATAAGTACATTTTCATTTATTGATGGGATACAATTATTACGGAGAGTATTATTATAAACATATAAAAGATCCCACAATAACTATACTCGAAAGCTCGGAATAAATTTAGAAGAGTACACTTGTGAAATATTTTTGCCAAATTTCCCAAAATTTCCTAACTTATTTCCTGACTAGTCGGCAAAGATTAACCCTAATAACACCGATCTGCCAGAAACATCCCATTTAGGTTCCATGTATGTTTGTATTTTTCTGACATAAATGGTACGTCCCTACGATGTTTCTAAAGGAACGTTTCTGGAATGATTTCTCAAGAACGTTTTAGAAACATCGTATTTATGTATAGGTATTTTATTTTCGTTTTAAATATTATTTTGAAATTATAAAATTACTGCAATCGTCAGAAATCTACAATAATGTTTTTGAACATTTTGAACAATATTTTTTATTTCACAAGACAACTGCTATAGGTCAAATTAATCTTATTTCCTTCAAAAAAGAGTGCAAAGCAAATACGATCTGATTCAGCAGGAGAGTTCGGTTAATCCTCGGCGAGCTAAAAAAATGCACTATTGACAGAAACCCTCGTGATGGAATCTATTTATTTGCATTGAAAGTGTAGCACTGAGCTACAGTACTTATGAAAATGTCGTTTCATTTATACAAATTGTATGGATGGAACGATATTTTAGATGAAAAGGAATGACTTCATATTTAATTTGCTCGCGGAGTAATAACGGAACACGCCTACCGTATAATAGATTCAATGACAATTGACATATGACAGACAGTTCATTAATGTTGACAGTTGAAAATAAAATGGTGTTTAGCCTCGCTTGTAATAAAGTTTGGATGAGTTTAAAAATAATAAACAACTTCTTTATAAACTTTTAACTAAACTAAAAATGATAATAGGAGGCCGGATTGAAGTGTATATTTGGTGACTTTCTGAGGGCTATGGTAAAGCTGCATGAAAAATCACTTCCAATTCGAAGTTTGACCAGGCTTGGCAAATTAGAAACAATCGTTTTATGTGAAAGCTATTCAAGCCAAAATGAAGAAGATAACTTAATGTCCTTTAACAAAATGTGGCTTTTATACATTCTACTCATTATTTCTTTATTTAATAAACTTTAAAAATAACTATTTTAGGTATTGTATTTTAAAATCCAAGGTAACAATAATGTATGTGAATTTATCAGAAAATGCATAGCTCCCCTCATGGTACGAGTTGTGTAAGTTGTTTTTATGCACTAGAAAAAAGGAAGTCGCCAAGTTAAAAAGAGCTAAAGCCATTATGGGTAATTATTTTAACTTCAAATCAATTGTTTATATTGTCATTTAATTAAAACATTTTCAGATTCGGTAAATTGGCAAACAAAAAAGAAATAGAAATTAAAATAGATGCCCGGTTGAAGAGGGCTCTGGAAAGAAATAGACGAAATGAATCAAAGGTAATAAATAATAATTTTTATTTTTTTGTCAATTTTTTTTTTTAATAAATTTATGAAAAAAGATAATAGATTTTATTATCCTACTAAAAAAACGTTTAGGTCATTTCTGGAACGTTCCAGCAATGGTATAAAAACTTGCCTAAGACGTTTGAGCAACATCGCAGGATGTTCCACAAACGTCTCTGTGAAACGTCTCTAATACGTTACAAATGATGACATGGTCATTGCCAGAAACATCCCAGGTACGTTTGAGGGAAAATAAGAAACATGACAGAGACGTTTCTAATGTCCCAAGTGCATGTTTCTGGAACGTTCGTGAAATAATACTGTGCTATTAGGGAAGCCATAGTTGCCTTTATAGATTATACAGGGTGTTTCCGAACTTGGCGTCCAAATTTGTAAGGGTGGTAGTTCGCATAATTTGAGAGCGATTGGCAGATTTCATTTTTCTAAAAAAACATAATAAACAAAATAGAGCCATTATAAAAAAATCAAAGAGCGGGTCCTACCCTGAGCACGGTTACTCATCGGGATTTACAACTCAAAAACAGATGCGATTTGCAATTTTGTCGATTCTTAGCAAACTTACGGAGAACTCGATCGTAGCGCGCGCGAGTCGAGACGATCCCATCGCTGTGCAAGACCGTACCTGTTTAAAATTTTTAATTATTTTTATTTTAAATATTTTGGAAAAATGAAATCTGCGATCGGTCTCAAATTATGCGAACTATCAACCCTACAAATTTGGACGCCAAGTTCGGAAACACCCTGTATATATATATTATTTGAGAGGTTGAATTCCCTTCTGAATTTATTATGTTGTTTATTTATTATATTATTGACTCTTCTTACGAGTATTTTCTTTTAATGGACTATTTCCATGCGTACTTTAGGTAAAAATTAGTTTAAATTAATCTTAAGAAGATCTTGCATTTTAGAGGCTCCGTTAAAATAAAAAATTTGTAACATGCCTTTAATACTTGTAGATACAAAATAACGATTTTAATTTAAAAAATTAACGGCCGCTAAAAGTTAAATTTTTAAAGGCATTTAATTAAAGTAGGAATCAAGTAAAGAGAAATACATGTATTAAGAGTAAATTAGAATAGAAAAATGAGTTAATATAAGAGAACAACTGAAGATTCTCTGATTAAAAATAAGTCGATTAAATGCTTAGATAAAATATTACTGGTTTCAGAAATACAGGGTGTTAAAGTTGAAAATTCAAAAATTATTAATGGCTATAACTTTTTTATTTCTTAATATAATTTTACTAAATTCGGTAAACATTTTTGGTGTCATTAGATACACCAATTAGGAAAACAAAAACTTTGCCAGTGGCGCACGGCATGGATAACTAACACTTTTATCCCTCTAAATTTTACGCCACTACCCAAAAACTTTTTAGGACTATACTTTTACATTTTTTGATGTTTTTTAAATAAATCATGTACTCTAGTTGGGAACTCATAAAGTGATTGGTTTTCGAGATATTTACATTCAAAGCTAGATATTCTATCAATTAAAAATGAGTACTCACCAATGAACCTGTGCTGCATCTCTTCGATTTCGAATTCGAAAACTCAGGGTAGTACGTAGGAGGGTTATATAACATTAAAGGATATGGCTCGTAACCTGCAAAAACAAAACAAAAATTAATATAAAAAACTTTAATATAACGGGCATATCCCAAGATTATACCGGGTATTTAAGAATCTTTGCTGAAAAAATTTCTCAGTCATTAGACGGCAGAAAATAAAATAAAAAATACGGAATTAATCTATTAGTTACTATAAGAGTTTCATACATTTTCACTTAATAACTATATCAATTTGTTATTTTATTTAGTAATAAATCACACCCTAACCTCACTTGTTTAAATAACACCTACTATATTTTTTACGTTAACTTTATATTTTTTTTATTTCAAATTCAGTGCACTACATAATCCAAGGATACAATACAATCATCGAGATATAATGAAGTAGAGAGCAACTAGTTTGCAATATGACAGATGGACGAATGGACGTACTATTTTTTTTTCTCCCGGACTCGTCTGAATATGTCTCTGAATAACACTGAAACCTATTGGCTTATTGTGTTTTACCCCATGTTAGTTCATAGCACCCACTCTGTCACCTTTGTACCTTGTACAAGTTTGTACAGATCCTTGGGTGAGTGAGTTCTATACGTTGTTGGATCAACCTGGGGTTGTCCAAAAAGAGCCTGTCTTTTGCGATCTAGAGTTTCGCATTCGCACAGTATGTGTTTGGCTATTTCTGGTTTCTTGTGACATAGTCGGCACATGAGTTCCCCATTGTACATGCCAATTTTGTTCAAGTGTCCCTTTACTGGGGCGTGCCCAGTCATGAACCCAGTCATCACTTTCAACTGGTTCCTATTCATAAAGAGTAGTTCTCCAGTTCTTTTGGAACATGTTCTGCCTATAAAGGCTTTTCCATGTGTCTGTTTTGGGGTACTTCCTCATTAGTTGATATGTTGTTCCCGAATCCAGTCGTTTATGAAACTCTGGACTATACTTTTTGGTACTCCTGGGTTTGTGTCTGGTTCCGGTGTTTCTTCTGACCCTATTTTTGCAAGTTCGTCAGCTTTTTCGTTGCCTTCGATCCCTTGGTGACCTGGCACCCAAAATAGTTTTACTCTATTTCGGTCTGACAGTGTTCTTAGTTCTTCGATGGACGTACTTAGCATTGCCAAAAGTGATTGAAAAGGGTAAATAAAATGGCGACTTTAGAGTCGTACTTAGATTTATTTAAAGTCAATAATTTTCTATTTTAAGATTGAATTAAAATGTTCTTGTATCATTTAAATGAAGCTATTTAAAAAAAAATGTCATTTATTATTACCAAAAATGACTGACTTTACGAGTTAGTTTGACACATGACACATTTTCTTTTTATTATATCTCAATAAGGGCGAGCTACCCAGTCACTCGACATTATTATCGTCCTTACTGTTCTTAGAAAGATTGGAAGGGTCGCCCTGTCGCCTTAGAGATAGAAGGTCTTTTAGGTCATAGTCTATCTGATACCCCATAACAACATGCCATAGTAAATCTAGGTTAACTTCGTATTTTTTCAAATATTTTTGAGATATTTCCAGCAAAAATATTTCTATAGAAACTATAACCCTTATTATTTTAGATCTGTTCCAACAACAATCAGAAACCAGTCACTGGTACTAGGATTCTGCGCAGTTGATTATTTCGACCGTCAAACTGTATACTGCGCAGAATCCTGGTGTCAGTGACTGATGTCTGACCTTTTATATTGTTGTTGATGATGTTTCATCACAAAGTAACAAAAAACAGTTGAATAAAAGTATGTAATGATATGGTAATATCGTCAATCACTTTTGCATTGCGATATACTTTTTTTTATGGAAAATATAAAACAAATATCCACTAAACCATGTCTCTGTTAGAAGGAAATTATTTAGTATTACTATATAATCGAGTTTTAAAAGCAGTAATTCAATTTAACTAGTAGTGTCGTCATTTTTCTTTGTGTGCCTTGATGTCTAATACGGATTCCAATTCCAATTAAATTTATGTGCTATCTCGAATGATCTAAATTAATACCGTACATGCAATAAAGTTGTCGATAACTAATTTTCACAATAGCATTGAATTACGCCTTTATTGTCGTTGGTTAATCCATTACTTCTTTTTTGAAATTACTTGCGAAGAACTAAATATTTACATCAGATATAATTTTAATCAATTTTATAAAGGGTGCGGAAAAATGTATTAATCATTTTTAACATCTAATAATAATTATTTTCGTAGCCGAATTTCTGTATCGCCTCTTCTTTCCATTAGGTACATTGCACGACTTGTTTCGATAAACAGTCTACCTTTCTGTGTACAGTGTACATGCTTGTTATATTTTCATCCGTTACCATTATTATGTGTTTGATATAGATTAGGTACTTCCCAAATTTTTGTATTTTTCATCCAGCAGATCTCATCCAGAAATGGTTTTAACAATGCATATTCTGCATTTCGGCATGTTCGGATTGTTGTCATTGCAAATATTTTGATTCCAGAGAATTCTCTTATCTTCCTGGTATATTTTGTGGTTTTATTAAATAGTGAGATAAAAGGCTTGTTTTGGTTCTTTCACGAACTAATTCAGAATCAGTGAATTACACTCGTTTAGCTCAATAAGTTGATTGTTATTATGTGAGCCATTTCATTATTCAGTCATGCTCTAACCCTCCAAGTCCCTCTCTGTCTTATTTGGCCTTTGAGGCTCAACTTGTCCGATTATTATACATAATTAAACCCCTTAAGATCAAACCTATGTGACGACTATGGCGGAGGTACTTTCGCGAACATTCCAGAGTCAACGGGATACTATTTCTGGTCTATTCCAAATATAACGTGATAGTGTTTCTAATTTTTGGCGAGAACGTTCTGGAACCTTCACCATAATTTTAAATTGGTATATAAATATTGGTGGAGAATAAAGCGGTATCAGTTATTATATGGACAGTGAAGATAAATAGCGAACAGTTTAAAGACATTCGAAATCACCCTGTTTTATAATATTTCATTTGTAGTTAATGTATCAAGTCAGTTAATGACATGTAATTTAATAAAACGTCTGTTATAATAAAAAAATATAATTTTTAGTACAAACTCCACTAAAAATCTGGTGACCCCCGACGCTTACACAACGCAATATGCCTGATACGGATCGGATACCTGAAAGTAGAAATACAGCTAGTCTCGTAAGTGTTAAACTTCCAACTTTCTGGGATGAAGACCCACAAATTTGGTTCGCCCACGTGGAAGCTCAGTTTGAACTAGCACGCATAACTTCTTCTCAAACTAAATATAATTACATAATAGCCGCTATTTCACCACAAACTTTAAAAGTAGTTTCCGACATTATCCAAATAGCAAACTACGATTACATCTCACTAAAAAACGCTCTAATTAAAAGATGCGGTGATTTCGACGAGGAGAAACTAAAGAAACTACTTGGACATTTGGAACTTGGAGATCGCCGCCCATCACAGTTTCTTCGAGAACTGCAAAATCTTGCTGGTCGAACGTTCAATGACGAACTTCTGAAAACTATTTGGCTTCAACGTTTACCCAGTTCGACACAGGCAATTCTCCACGTAAGCACTGAACCACTAGATAAATTAGCTGAGATGGCGGATAAAATTCATTCAATCTTCCAATAATAGCCTCTACGTCAACCTCTCAACAAAAAATTTCCGAAGTAGCAAAACAGGTAAAAATTTTAACGGAAGAAGTAAATAAACTCCATACTTCAAGGCAAAGATTCAGACATAATTATTTTTCACATTTCCGCAGCAGATCTAGAAAACAAAGCCCCATGATTTGTTGGTATCATAATAAATTCAAAGAAAATGCTCGGAAATGCACAGCTCCATGTAGTTTTAAACCCTCTATTTCTTCAAACCCGGAAAACTAGACCAAGACCTCACATTAGCTGTGAATGAGGGGTCCGAAAAATCCAACCGCCTTCAAGTACAAGACAAACATACTGGCATTATATTTTTAATAGATACAGGTGCGGATTTGTCACTCGTGTCTCCTAAACCAAACGAAAAGAAAAATAAATCATCCATAATTTTATATGCCGCAAACAATAGTATCATAAATACATATGGTCAACGTTTACTAACTCTAGACTTAGGACTACGCCGTCAATTTTCATTTATATTTACAATAGCTGACGTTTCAATCCCAATATTAGGTGCAGATTTTCTAAGACGATATGGATTATTGGTCGATATTCGTAAAAAACGTCTTTTAGATGAGAAAACTACCCTATCAATCCCAGCTAGACTAAACCATTCCACACAACTTACCATCAAAAGCATCTATTCAAATTTAGACCCTAACGTATCAAATCTTATAACGAAGTACAATTCATCATCCAGTAGTGTGAAACATACATCAGAAAATTTTCCCGAAGATGTATATCACCAAATTATAACCAAAACGCAACCGTGCATTTCAAGACCACGAAGACTACATCCTGACAAATTAGCAGCTGCGAAGACAGAATTCGATTTCATGATCAAAGAAGGGATATGTCGACCATCAAATAGTCCTTGGGCCAGCCCATCTATCTTGTTAAAAAGAAAAATGGCGACTGGAGACCATGCGGTGACTATCGAATGTTGAACTCTCAAACAATTCCCGACAGATACCCCTTACCCAACATACAAGACATTTCATCATATCTTCATGGTAAAAAATATTTTTCTACCATTGATTTGACAAAAGCTTACTTACAAATACCGGTACACCCCGACTCAGTTCCTAAGACAGCCGTTACGACACCATTCGGTTTATTCGAATTTCTTAAAATGCCCTTTGGCTTGCGAAATGCTGCACAGACGTTTCAACGGTTCATGGACAATCTATTCAGAAGTTTTCCATTTGTCTTTGTGTATATAGATGATATTTTAATTTATTCTGACTCCTATGAATCTCATCTAAAACATATCGAAGAAGTTCTTAGTAACATAGCAAAGATAGGTTTATCTATAAACATTAGTAAAAGTGTGTTCGCACAAAAAAACGTAGTTTTTTTGGGACATAAAATTTTCGAACAAGGTTTATTCCCTACCGATCAAAAAATTCAAATCATAAAAACTTTTCCTAAACCCAAAAATATTAGCGAACTGAAAAGATTTTTAGGAATGTTAAATTTTTATCATAGATTTATTCCACATGCAGCCTAAATTCAAACACCCCTTCATATACACTCTTCTAAAAAGAATGATAACATTCCGATTTCGTGGACATCTGAAATGGAGACTGCTTTCGAAAATTTTAAACAAGCCATTTCTGATTCCACTAGTTTATTTTTTCCTATCCCCAATAAAGGGATCATTGTTATGGCAGACTCTTCCAGTTCATTCATGGGTGGAGCAATTCATCAAATTTTTGATGGTTCGCCTAGGCCTCTAGCATTTTTCTCAAGAAAACTATCGTCAACAGAACAAAAGTACTCAACCTATGACCGTGAACTTTTAGCAATATTTGCCACAATTAAACATTTTTCATTTATGCTAGAAGGACAATTAATCAAAATGTATCACAGATTATAAACCAATCACATATGCCTTCAAGAAAAAAGAATCCAACCTCTCTCCTAGACATATACGTCAGTTATCTTACATTAGTCAATTTTCCACTGACATACATTATGTACAGGGGGGTTCAAATATTCCTGCCGATACCCTTTCTCGTATAGCTACTATAATAAAGCGTGATCTCACTTCATCTAACTTAGCTAACGCTCAGCAAGATGACCGTGAACTCATATTTTAAATTCTTCAAAATCAAGTTTAAAGTTACAAAAGTTTTCTATTGATGATTTTGATATATACTGTGACAGTTCTAATAACAGAATTTGTCCTTATATTCCTAAAAGTTTTCGTAAGCATGTTTTTGAAAAATTTCACAATCTGTCACACCCAGGTGGAAGGTCAACATTACATTTCATCGCTGACCGTTTTGTGTGGCCATCAATGAGAAAAGATATTAAATTATGGGTTCAAGAATGCAACGATTGTCAACTATCAAAAATCAACCGTCACGAGAAAACTCCATTACAAAACTTTTCGCAACCAGATGAACGTTTTGCGCACGTCCATATAGATATACTTGGTCCTTTACCTCCATCGAACAATAATATTTATCTTTTAACGTGTATCGATCGATTCACACGTTGGTGTGAAGCATTCCCAATGCCAAACCAAAAGGCTGACACTGTGGCACAAACATTTTTTGATGGATGGATTTCACGTTTTGGTACACCTGTCATCATAGTAACAGATAGAGGTAAAAATTTCAGGTCTAATTTATTTAAAGACATATCTAATTTACTTGGCATCGAACTTCATCATACTACATCTTATTATCCTCAGGCCAATGGCATTATAGAGAGAAGTCATCGTTGTATAAAAGCAGCTTTATTGTGTCGTTTAAAAGATTCTAGGGAATTCTGGATCCACGAATTAAATGTTGTTCTTCTTGGACTACGCAATGCTTTCAGAGAGGACATTGGTGTAACACCAGCCGAATTAACTTTTGGAACATCGCTCAGGATACCTGGTGAAATTTTTGAAAAACCTAAACCTATTACAAATCAAAACGACTATCTTAGGGAACTAAATACATTTTTCGATAACATACGACCAACAAAGACATAGCATAGCACATGGCATAGCACAAAAAATATTTTTAGACATTCTGAACTAAATGCTCCCACGTGTATCTAAGATGTGACAAAATTAGATTATCGTTACAAAGACCTTATACCGGACCTTTTTTTTTTAGTTTTAAAACGAACAAACAAAACTTTTGACATATTAATTAAAAATAAACGAGAGACAGTATCAAGAGATAGACTAAAACCCGCTTTCATGACTAATGAATTGGTGATAGAAGATAGTGCATATACAAAATGTTCAACGGTAGTCAGAAATACCAAAAGTGTACATTTTAAATATTTTAATTTTTTTTAAGGAAGGAAATAGTGTTGTGTATCACCCTGTTTTATAATATTTCATTTGTAGTTAATGTATCAAGTCAGTCAATGACATGTAATTTAATAAAACGTCTGTTATAATAAAAAAATATAATTTTTAGTACAAACTCCACTAAATATATAAATTAGAATAGTAGTGTTATAAAATAAATAAGTGTTTAAATAAATTATTGATGAATAAACTGTTGTTTAAAATAAACAAACATCACATTATTATCGCTACATATTCTTAAAAAGTGAGTTCGACAACTGTATTTAAGAACTGGAATTGGCGGTTCTGTTTGAACCAAAACAAACCCAAGAAAAACACAAAATCCGTACCATAAAGTATTATTTTATTGACAACAATTGCCTTTAAAAAAAAAACTATGTGCTACATGGAATAATAGTGATTGAAGATTACACCAAAGACAACAAATAAAATGACAATTTGGAATCCCACAAGAGCAACGAGTTTTAAACGTTCCAAATTAAAATTACATCTTAAATTAATAAAATAAGAGTGTTTCTAATTAAAATGAAATTAAATATTTATAATCCACATAAATCACCCCGTATAAATAATTTATATTAAAAATAAGAACAACAATATATTTTATTATTTATTCAGTACATTATATTACCGAATTTAAAAAGCTTTAACAGAATTGGAAGACGGCTCTTACCCCTTAGCGACAGTAAATACAAGTTAACGGTTTTTAGAATACATTTATCTTCCTCATGGAAAATTACTAGTAATTTAAGCATCTGCATGGCAAAAACTATCACAACTGTCAAAGATAACAATATAGTTTCCGATAAATAAATATTATGTTGCTAGTAACAAAACATGAATATTGTTGTACTATGCAGATAATGATAAATATTGTTCTGCAGAGGGTGATCATAATATTCTGATCCACTTGAAGAAATAGTATAATACATTACGAGTGTGGAAAGTAACAATTTCCACACCAGTGCTATAATTATACGACTGTGAAAAATTACTTTCATACAAGTGATGTACAATATTTTTCCTACAACCACAAAATAATTTTATCAAAAAAATGTAAAACGAGGAAATCTGGCTATAAATGTTCCATCAAGATGTGGCTGGTTTTAGATTCGTTTTTTTATATGCCTTATTGAATTATTTTAAAGTGTTTTAAGGACGGTGTTTTGTTATAAAAAAAGTTGAACAATTTATTCATCAAATCGATTTTACTATTAATATGGGCATTACATAAATCAAAATAGGAATTATGCGTCTGACCTATTTGACAGCTTATGCGGAAAGTAGATTCATATTCACACACGGATAGAAAGTAGATTCTGATCCATCCGCGTGCGATATAGGGCCCATAAGTCAAAATAATGCGATAGGTGTTACTTTCCTAAGTGGTCGTAAGAAAAAGTACTTTTATTTTACTGCCAATAGCAACGCATTGATTGTTACCAAAAAAGTTACAACTTTAACATCATCAAAATGTCAGCTTTTCTGACGTTTGAAGGAAAACAATTTTTTCTTACGACCACTTAGGAAAGTGACACATATCACACTATATAGTCCTATGGAAAGTGCCCTATATCACACGCGTATGAATAAAAATGTACTTTTCACAGCAGCTGTCACAAAATGTCAAACACATCATTTCTATTTTGATCTATGTAATGTCCATATTAATACTAAAATCGATATGATTGTTAAATTATTGAAATTGTTGTAAATTAGATCTTAGATATTTATCTTTAACAATTATTATTAAAATAATTTTAAAATAACTAAGATATATTTGCTTTTTATTCTGATTAAACACATTACCGATTAGATCATTCAATTGACGCAAGCCCTTTTAGCTCAGATGGTTACAGTGTCAAATTTATCAACTTTGACATTTGAGACCTGGCGAGCGACCGTGTTCAAATCCTAGCGGGGCCAGAATTTTTTTTTGTTTTTTTATTTATTTTTTTTGTCTTTTAATTTTTTTTTTGTTTAGTAAATATGAAAATTGAATAAATACGATTATTGTTGATTATTTTTTAAATACATTTTAATTATCATAATAATAACCTGGTTTTACATTTTTTGATGAAATTATTTTGTGGTCGTAGGAAAAATATTGTACATCACTTGTATGAAAAGTGATTTTTCACACTCGTAATGTTATATACTATTTTTAGCATTTTATAAGCTATGAAAAATAAAACCTTACGCTCTAAATTTATTGTATTTTTTTTATTAATAACTATAATTATGATAATGAAAAATCTCTAATTATTTTAAAATAAAAAAGAGGTCGATATTTATTAAATTCAAATACCTATACGGTTTTTAATAAATTGCTTTGGTACATTATGATTATATTTTTTTTATAGAAGAAAAACTTAAAGTGATTAATTTAATTTTGTAGGTATTAGTTTTTACTTGTTATTTATAAAAATATCTAAAAAAAATTGCTTAATAGACAACATTGTTTGAATAAAAAAAATATTTGATTCGACGTTTAAATTATTAAACTAATTTCAGGGTCGATTTTGCATTGCAACTTTAATGTTAATTTGATAATTTAAAAATTATAATTATTATCAGTTTATACGAGGGCCACTCCTTTGAGATAATGTCTAATTATAATTACTTAGGGATTTAAAAAACTGTTCAAATAAAATTTGATTTTACTGTTTGTTTGGAACAATTTATAAATAACTATCCGAATACTAATGGTAAGTTTTTTATTAGGTTTTCTTATATTAAATTATACTTACTGTTGACGTAGTAGATTCCGTTTTGATCTACGAATCCGTTCGGGAAGACGAAATGCGAATCGTATTCTAAATCTGAAACAATGTTTTTCCATTAAATAAAAAATAATCAATATTTTTAAAAGTAAATTTATACCTAACATGAATTCGTTAAAAATGTATTCATATTTTTTTGTTTGAATTGTTTATATATAAGAAATGGTAATTATGTAAAATGGCAGGTCATTTTGTTTAGTTATTTCATTTTCCGCATAGATGTTACTGCTATCTCGAGCATCTCGCGAAACTGAATGGAAAATGGGTTTGTATTTTTGAGATCAATAAAATAGAAATAGATATAACGATCTGTTCCGAATATATACGACAAACTACTTAAAATTCGTAATTTTTTTTCCAAAATAGAATTTTTTCCACAAAAAAATATGACAAAGCTTAATTTTCCGCGAATACTTCCAAAACGCACTGGTTCATTGATGAGAAAATTTCCTAGAACCTTTATTATTTAGGGTTTAAATTGATTATTTAGAATCAGATAGTCGGTTATTTATTATACAGGGTGTATCATTGAGAGCTGATATTATACATCACTCCTCTACATTTAATGACAGAAACCGTGGCCAAAAAGGACACGATATAAAATGATCAGGAACGGAGTAATCAGAGGAAATTCTATTAGCTTCTGGACCGAAGATACTTGGAATATACCCCAGGATGAAATGAGAAAGTTTCAAAACCACAGAGCTGAACTGCAAGAAAGAATGGAGCCAAGAATCCATCGAGCTTGTAACCGAAACACATGCTATTTAGTGGTAAACGGGTGCTTCCAAAACCTGTAACGTGATCTCTAGTTATTCTATCTACTTGTTTAATGTGTTTGAGCTCAATTGATTGGGCGTGGGTTAGGTTATTAAATAACTCGAATAACTTTGAAAAAGAAGTTGGGCACCACTATATTTAAAGCTTACTATACTTGACTTTAGATTAGTGATAAAAATATAGAAAATCACTAACCACTAACAAATTATATTTAAACCATGCTTTAGATAATGTAGATATCAAATTCTAATTCACATAGTTTTACTAAATTCAAATTTAAGATGATTTATTAAATAAAACTTATCTTTTGGTAAATGGAGGTAATATAAGGACTTTTTTATCGCATGGTATATCCTCAGGCAACTTCCTCAAAGGGATTTTTGGGTATCCTTATTCGTAATTCTGCAACGTGAATGATCTCGTGATATTTGGTATTCTAACTTAAACTCGAAACTGTCTAGATCTTCTAGAGATGAATCAAACAACGGTCTTCAGATTGTACCATAACCAAAACAAACTTTTAGGCACGGCATAAAAAACAATCGGCAGGCCCACTCTCCGCTGATCGCATACAAATATTATAGAAAGAAAATTTGAACTTGACGACGCCATTCGGGGGTCTTAGTCAGGGTCGTATTAAAGCGTATTTAAAGATTTTGTAATAAAATAAGGTGTTGATAGGCAGGATCGTATTAAAACAAAAAAGCTTCACAGATTGCGCCAAATAATTAGCTTGTTTTTATTGATGGTCTTAAAATTTCTATTAATATTTTTAAAGTGAAATATATGAGCAGCCTTAAATATCTTAGGACCGATTTCACCGTTGTGTTAAACGAAGTTTAAAATTACATTTTTACATTAACAATGTTATTTTAATCTCCGTTTAACACAATGGTGGAATCGACCCTTAATAACATATATTTATGGAAATCGGGGACAAGGAGCGTCAAATGTTATCTCGGAATTAATTAAATCTAAAAAAAATTACAAACGCCGGATTTAGTGATAAATAATTCAAAATTGTGATGAAAAATTATTTCAATTTTTGTTATTAAACATACAAAACTATTATTTGACATTTTTAAATTGCCAAAAATATCTTTATTTGCTTTTTTTTGTATGCTTTATAATTTATTTATTTTTTATTTATTTTTATTTATTAAATACACTATTCTACAAGTAATACCCAATTACAGAATAGGAAAATATGACAAAAATATTTAGACGAAACGTACAAAAATGAAAAATATTACAGGAAATAAAGTACAATGATGGTTATCCTAAATAATGCCTTTTGATATCCTGAATACTAATGTGGAATATATCCAATTCCTGACTTATCTGATTGTAATTATTACACATATTATACAACGGTGAGTTCATTAAAATATTAGTACGAGGTGTTGGTAAGTAAAATGAGTCAGTATATCTTGAGGCTAGACGTGAAACTTTTAAATTAAGCATATGTAATAGACATTCGCAGTTTAAAAATCTGCTTGTTGAAGAAAATTACAAGAAAAAGTTTCCTTTTAAAGTTATGAAGGAAAACCGAAAGGAAAACTGTGACTTTTCTTCGTAAAATCAATAAGGTAATACAGATTTTTTCCTTTTGTCAATTTTAAGTTTCTTCATTTATTAAGACCATGTACACCTCACCTAACATATTAATATAGTAAACCTATTTTTTCGTCAAACAGAATTTTTTTATAATGACTTTTTCCTTAAAATAAAAATAAAGATTTTTCCATTTTGTTAACTCCATACGGGAGATGTTTAAAATATAACATTTTTCTTTAAATCTTAATAATATACCTACATAAGTAAATATAAATTGACGCTAAACTTTACGTGACGTTAACTAGGCTCCTACCTACATCTTACTAATAGCTTTATAACTGACAAACTGACTCATAATCTAGGATTTTTTTAAAAGTAAACCATACATACCTAATAAGATCTTTAAGAAACCGAAAAAATCTTTTAATACAGTTTATTCATATAGTTTTTTGCTGCACAACTTTGCCCAGACATAGTAAACTTAAAAGTTAAAAAATTAACACTGGAAAACAACTACTATATAAAAAGTGTCAAAATATATCTATAATTCTAAAAAAATAACAATAACTACATAATACAAACATCACAAACAAAATAAATTTAAGATACACGCTACTGATTCCGTGCTACTGCAACTTGTTTGTTTTTGTCGATATAAACGACGACAGTGACGCCACTGGCTTGATTGAGAGGTTGGACCCCAAAATGGCGGTGTACGCGTAGATGTGCGCGTAGCGTTGCCGCCAAGACAAGTTAGCCTGCCGATTGTTTATTATGCCGTGCTTCTAGGTACAAAAACATTAAAACATCTTGAGAGGAATTCAAAACCGTCTAGATATAGCCATGCTTATAAAATCAAACGGATTCTACGATAGATAAAAATCATTTAGTACATCGGATGACCAAGATATATTAAAATTCAAATCAAGTTGATTCGTTGACATCCAAGTCAAAAATAATTCTCACAAGACGAACCAAGGAAGAAAAAAACGACAAATGACATTTAAGAGATGATTGTGTCGAAATAACGGTTCCAACCGTTACAAACCATAGAAAGAACTGGAATAGGAGTGTATGGGTCTAGAATCAGACACTCTGAAAGTTTAGGAAAATACCCAAGGATCTTCCAGGCGGAAATTTACGCCATTGAAAAGTGTATCCAGTTTAACATCGAGAGAAACTATATCGTAGACAACAGATTATCACCATGTCCGATAGCCAAGCAGCTATCAAAGCGCAGTAGAAGAATCGATAGTTGAAACAAGCTCTTGGGGCTAAGACAGGATAAGATACTTCTGAAAGTGGTGGAAGATAATGATTGCAGATTCTGTGAGGAGGAAGACAAAACCTTCATTCCATTCTGACTGAATGTGTAGCACTTCAGAATCCAAAGGCACGATCCGTAGGAGCATATTCTAAGATTTACCTAACTTAAAGCCCCTCCAGATCCTACACTTCCTTGAGAAGGATTGGAAGGGTCGTTATAGGCATCGATACATTTCCTTGCTGCATTAGCGACAGAATGGGACACAATACATAATAGATATTTTAGGTCGCAGTGTATTAACATCCCATTCTCAACATAACATATAACATCATTGGCAAAAGGCCACAATACTTTCGTCCTACTAAGGTATAAACAAAAACCCAGGTCCGTCTTAACAAACAATTAATAAATTTGACAATGCATGAACAACACTTGTATGTGTGAATTTTGATTTTTTTATTTGAAAAGAGTACATAAAACTAAATCCAATAGTGTGCTTTTTATTTTTATGAAGACAATTTTACTACTAAAATTTTAAGTCCAAATTGTTATTTTTGAACATTTTGGGGGCATAAAAAGAATAAGGACTAGATTTTATAAAGTCTGTTGCGTTGTAATTAAAATTAATTAATTAATTAATTTACATATTAATTTAATACTTGCACTTGTATGCAAAAACTAGAAAATTTAATTACAGGTCCGTAGTTAGGACCAAATATCACAAAAATTTATCTTTCGGTAATAGTTTTCTAAATAACCACTCGATGGATTTGCAGATACAAAATAATCCAGGTTAATATTAACGCTATTGCTAGGTACACGCTAAAGTGTACACAAATCAAAAAATTATATACACGCGAAACGTCATATTGTTGTGGTGGGAGGTGTTTGTGTAAATACGTGTTGTTTGTTTTCATTTACGCCGTGTCTACCACCTAGCAGTAGTATTTTATAAACCTTAGAAGCAAATTTCACATACATGAACAAATAATAATAATGCCGTGACAACAAGAAAATGAAGCAACGAATTCTCGTAGGGTGGCGGCTTCGCCGCCACCATTAAATTTCAATCCATACCTGGCTACGCCGACTGGCATGGACACAGCTCACCTACTCTGTCAAGACGTTTCGCGTGTATATAACTTTTTGAATTGCGTACAAGTTAGCGTGTACCTAGACACTGTGTAATATTATTACATAATATATGTAGAATAAGAACATATCACAATTGTAAGCAATAATTTCATAGGCCTATGGAACTGACATCGAATTGTTGTGTCATTTGCTTGCAAATTAGCCTTCTGTCAGTAGGTATTTATGGTTTTTTAATTTTCTTAATTGTCTACAATTTATTATTCTTTGTAATTATTAAATTCACTAACAACGAATACACGTATATGGTCTACATTTATTGTTTTTGTGACATGGTAATACTTGAGCTAGATAATATGAAAACACAATCATGGTAAATTCCTAACAGTTCAATTAAACGAGTATCATGAAAGGCAGCATTTAAATATGAAACAAAATATTAAAAATATGGTTAATGAAAATGCAAAACAAAAAGAATTGGTCATGCACTTAATGTGCCTCGTACGACTATATAGCACGACTGAAAAACATTATCTCTACCCATTTCATGTAAAAATCATATATATTTTTTTAAATCATTCAGCGTATTCGAAAGATAAATTAATGTAATATTTGGTTCTAAAGACAGACCTTGTAATTAATTTTTCTAGTGATGTTGATGCATGCAAGTACAGGTATTTGTATTTACATAGTAGCTTTTAACAATGTATTTAGTTAAATAATCAAGGGTAATATACCAAGACCTTGATAATAGTCGGCTATTTTTGTTGAATTTAAATCTCGAGAATATTTTAATATCAATTTGATGAGCTTTAGCTCGATTAATTGATTATTAATGCCAAAATTATGTAGAATCAAATTGTAAAATGTTCGAGAAATTTAGCAACAACAAAAATAGCAGAATTTTAATCAAGGTCGTGTTATATTTGGGACGACTATTTCACTAGACCAAATATTGACTATTTCTCTAGAGAAATAGTCGCTGATATTTGGTCTAGGGAGATAGTCTTAATTATAACCCAATAAAATTAACATAATTTCTTAGGGTTCTATTTTGTACTCCCAAATTGTTAAAAAATATGAATTTGGACTTAAAATTGTAGTAGTAAAATCAACTGCTCTAAAATAAAAATTACATAATTAGATTTAGGTATTTTACTCTTTTCGAATAAAAAAAAATCAAGATCTGAAGTATAGGGTGTTTTTTTAAGGATGGACGAATTTACTCATTTTTTATAAAGAGAGAGCTGTATTATGTTTCTTGTTTATGCCTTAGTAAATTCGGTATGGTATTAAGAATACGCGGACCAAATGTTAAAATCATAATAGTGTGGTTGGTAAGTTATGTGTCAAGAAATAGGCAAAATTGATAAAAAAACCTTTTAAGAAAGGGTAATTTATCTACAGCAGTTAACGGATATCGGAATATATAAAACATATAGATATAAAATGTATATAAAAAGCTATTTATTTAAAAAAATATTGTAACTAAATTTCAATACCACGTAAAAAATGATGGTATTACTTATGTAATCCTGAACTGAAATTAAAGGCTAATAGCAAGATTTTAGAATAGTATTTTGCAATTTTCATTCACAATTAAATTAATTGCAGCTGTGCCTACATTTAAAAGCAAATGAGATGGTTTCTTACAAGAATAAATTACAACCAAAAGCAAAAAAAAGGCAAAGGGCTTTACTAAAAGAACATACATTATTAAAAAAAGGGTTTGCTGGACGTTTTTAATAAAAATAAGTAAAAAATAATTTTAAAGATGAAAACAAGGAGCTTTGGTCTTCAGAAGAAATTTCTAAAGTATTCTTGACAAGATTTAAGTAAAAGGTGTTATCTTTACCTCAGAAATACTCTTAAGTATCCCTTACAGGGGATTTCAAATTTACAAAAGTTGGCTAGTAAAATAAATTTAAGATGTGGTCTTTTGGTTGATGTTTTTTGACTTTTTTGGAATGTCAAAGACAAAATTGTAGATAATAACAATGTTGTCATTTGATGTATATTCAATATACGAATAAACAGAAGGAGTATGATGCGGTTGTACCTCATGACTATATACATTTCATTTAAATTCTCCGAATTCGAATGTACGCATCAATGCATGAGAGAGTCCCACTTAAGAAATAAAATCTGTTATTAAATAAAAAGTGTTTAGAATATGAATTAAAGTAAACATTTTCAAGCAAGACATATTTTGTTCTAAATATTTTTTCATTGCCAACGAACATGCAGAAAAATTTAAATTTTGCACTTTTCCTCAAATTTTACCATTACGGTCAATTTTAGAGAAATCACATTACAGATAACTCATATTCAAAGAAGTTTCTTCTTTGATGAAAATAATAGAAATATACTTCAAAGCCCTCTATGAAGTACCCCCATCCTCCATATAATCCGACTATGTCCAAAATCTAATAAGCTAATCAGCCTAGAAGAGTATTGGATTTAGTGCTTTTCTCTTTATCTGTCTTTGAGTTTTCGTGGATACAGACACATACACTCATAGGTAGATAGATATAATCGCGAAAATGGTCAAAACGGATTCAGACGACCCCAAAACGTCGAAAACTCAAGGTCGAAAAAATCATATACTTTCCTTACTTATTACAGGAAAGTAAAAATCGCAGAAGTTACACAAAAAATATGGAAGATTAATAAATGGACTGTATATTATTATTCTTTTAATATTTTATTCAAACTAATTAAAATTTAAAATATACATATTCATTAATAGCTCTAGGAGATAAAAACCGAATAATGTCTTTACCCGTACCTATATTATATTACACCAAAAAGTCTACCCAAACTCGCCACACACACACTTGACACTCTTCGGCCTGTCTTTTCTCTTTTACATCTGACAGGACTGGTTCCAGGAGGGTTAGAACACAACACTGATTTGACGTTAAGTGATAAGTGAAACAAGATTATTTGTAAATATAAAGGGTGAAAAATCAGTAGCAAATTATAGTTAGAGTGATCTCCAAAGGACAAAAATAGCTATGATAATTCCAAGAATAAATCTAAATGGAACAAGAGGTGTCTCTGGAAAAATGTTCAAGCATGAGGATCAGTTTTTAGCTTTCTCTAATGCAGAAGTCATAAGAACATATAATAATAATAATAATAATAATAATAATAATAATAATAATAATAATAATAATAATAATAATAATAATAATAATAATAATAATAATAATAATAATAATAATAATAATAATAATAATAATAATAATAATAATAATAATAATAATAATAATAATAATAATAATAATACTGTTCCTATGATAATTCACCCCCTTACTAGTGAATGTTAACCCCAGAGCTGATTGAGCTTATACGGGGAAAGGACGGCTATTACTACTATTTTTTCCTTGTAGTTCTTGGGTTTTTAGGTGCTAGTGTGAAAATGAAACTCGTGTATGTGTGGGTAAAGCTTTCGGCACTGATCAGTGCCTTCTTCAGTAGTCTTTTTTTTTTAATATTTGTACATTATTATTTTTTTTACAATATCAAAATCGTTCTTTAGTAGGTACAACGTTGGGGTGTGTCATTATAATTATTGAAATATTTAAAATACTTTTTTATTATTTTTATTATTATTATTATATATTTAATTTCTATTATCCTTGTCATGTCCGTTTGTGGTGCTGTAATATCCGTTCAATTGTATGGGTGTTGTTACCCTCTTTTTCTTTTGCGTTCCCTCATATGCCGCGTTTGAGAATCCACATCGGATGCATTTTTTACATCTAGAGCGTTTTTTTATCCACATCGGACACATCTGTCCCATTACATTTACGTATACTGAATCACGTGATCAAAGATTTACTACATCTCAGATGCATCCGATGTGGATTCTCAAACGCGGCAATTGAGGTCCGGATTCTAAGAAATTTTAATTTGGTTTAAACGTTTTTTTTTCACTAGCACCTAAAAACCCAAGAACTACAAGGAAAAAAATATAAATTAAGGTGTAAAAAAAACTTTAGAAGATTTCCGTTTGTAAAGTACCAATATTACTACTATTTGCTGTGGCGCTTCGGGGCGACCTAAAGATGGTTGATGGTACCATTTGACTTATAGGTGAGAAAAACCTAGAAAATCCCAACCACCATCATCAAAACGGTAACGTACGGCGATTTGTAATGTGAATGTTATATTAAAAGAAATTACATTACTGCTAATACGGCACCCATCAAATCCTACAAAGATACATGCAAATTAATTAAAATTCTCAGGATTTGAACTACGATTTGAAGCCGAGTGTCGCTGTCCCACTAAAAGGCTTATAAATGAATACTGGCCGTTCGACAAACTGCGCTACCGAGCCGAACGGTGTAATAGAGAACATTATATGAAATTAATCATTTACCTGTCGATTGATGATCGGGAGTACCGTTTCCCGTGGAGTTGCCTGTAGAAGTCGTGGAGGTACCAGTCGAAGTTTGCGTTTGGTAGTTTTTAGGCTTATTCAGGTAACCCTTCTTAAATAGAACATCTTGCCTAGGAGTCGTGATTCTAGTGTATTCATCTGCAACAAGAAATCGAATGTTTACTACACTACGTTCAACTTAAGACAAGTAATGTAAACAAAGTGCCAACCGTTGTAATCGTCTATGTCATTAACCTAATTAAAGTAAATAAAACATTGCCCAACTCTATCAAACATTCATTATATGTTACGTTTAGAAATAATTCGTAAATAAAGCTGACGGTCTTTAATTTTGGTTTAATAATTGTATCTATATCAGTACCATCGGTAATTGTCAATGAAATAACGCCATCATTAATTAATGTCATCAATTCACATATGTACCGTGATAAAGTAAATGACAATTCAATTATAACTATTACTTAAATTAACTTTTTGAGACAATATACGAGCCCTAACCACTATATGTTCGACCTTTTCATAATTTTATTTGAGATATTTATTAGGAAACTTATGTTTATGTTTATATTTATGATCAAATCCCTAATATTTTTTTTGGAGTTGCTTTACCACGACCCATTTTCAATAACAAAAAAAAAATATACAAATATACCGTCACACTTTCAACAACTTAAAATGTCAAACCACATTATGTGCGTCAAACACGTAAAAAATTCTAAACGTCAAAAATTCCAAAGCCTCCCAAATATTAAATTTAATAATTTCGATTAGATACTGTTTTTTAAAAAATTAAGATCATGGTGCGTTATGCTCTCACAAATAGTAGAAACATCAACTATTAAATTTAAGTAATTTTTAAAAAATAGATGTTCTTCTTCAATCTTAAGTTTCCTAATATATAACGGAAATAAAATTATAAAAAGGCCGAACAGAGGTTAGGGCTCGTATACAACACAGTATATTACTTAATATTCGTGGTCATCCAAAATAAACATAGACGAATTCAAATTAGCGTTAAAAACAAGGAAGTGCTTAATTATGATATTGTTAAAATGCCAGAATTTTAGAGTTACAGTTCATTAGTACGAATATTTCTTTGAAGTAGTAGTTTTTTTAAATTACGAAAAACCACGGAACGAAAGAAAAAGTAATTTCATGGTTTTGAAGAACAGAAGAGATAAATGGTCTGTTTTAGAATGAAAATAAGTTGTAAGAAAATGTAGGGATCGATTTCCCCAACTTCGTTTTGTTTTTCTCGTCGTTGAGGATTTTAAATTGAGATTTTACAATAAAAATGATTTGTAGTAACGTTTTAAATTATTAAAAGTTTTGTTTAGATAAAACAGATGTGAAATTGAAAACGGTGAGAATCGCTCATTCTTTGTTTATGATAAATCATAAAGAACGTGTATTCCATTTTTTCATTATTTTGTTCGTCTACATTCATGTTTGGATTATTCTTATTACAATTTACTGGTTCATATGTTTTCTTTATTTAGCCACTTATTTGCCGAAATTAATCAATTTTTTCCAATTAAAGAGTGATTGATCCACAAAAAAATGTTTCTTAAGTAGGTCATTACCAACAAAGACGAGTCATGTCTGTGATAACTACGTAAGTACAGCTCAGTATTAAATCGTAACTGACACTTAAAAAAGGAAAAATGTTTTTCTAAGCCCTACTCTATAGTTTAGAAAAGAAAGGAGTGCAGTAATTTAATGCTTATTTGTAGTTAAACTGAAAATTTTAATACATCTGATCGGAATAATAAAAGTTTTCGTTTAGTTTTAAATATGTTTCCATGGTTTTTACTGTAATTAACCTTTGCTTTTGACAGAAAAATCAGACTTTATTTATTCATTGCCGTATCGTATATATTTTAATTGATTCGGAATTTTGTATTAGTATATACCTATTATAATTTTACAGTTATAAAAGAATGGCGAGTGCATTAGAAAATATTGCAAGCACAAGTACGCGTAAACGACCTAGTGGACATAAAGCATTATCTTTAGAAGAAAAAATATCGTACTTAATGTATTTAATAATCTTCGAAAATACTTTGGTCCGCTTTCTGTGGATGAAATAACCACTAAATGTGAGACCTACACTGGAGTATCTAAGCGGACAGTGTATAACATTATTAAAGAAGATACAATTATTGGAGAAATCTCACATCCTAAAAAAGCCCCCAGGAAGAAACAAGTGAAACAAGACCTTTATTGAATATATAATAAGGCAAATGGTACATTATTTTTTCTTTAGAAATGAAATTCTAACACACAAAAATAGAAATAGCCCCATTCTTCCAAATATATCATATTTTCATTACATGAATTAAATTTTCGTTACAAAAAAAACATGAGAGAAACAGCTTTTTAACAGAGACAGACGAAAGCATTGCTTGGAAACATGATTATTTAAGAAAAATAGCGAACGCAAGGAATCGGCATAAACCGGTATTTTATTTAGATGAAACATGGGTCAATGCTGGTCATACAATAACAAAAATTTGACAAATTTCCTCCATCAAAACTAAAAAACAAGCATTTATGGAAGGAGTCTCTTGTGGATTAAAAAATCCAACAGGAAAAGGAAATCGTTTAATAATAATCCATATGGAAAGCTCCGATGGATTTTTACCAGATGGTTTAATAATGTTCGAGTTATAGAAAACAAAAGACTACCATGAAGAAATGGATGGCCCTATGTTTGAAAATTGGTTTCGGGACATTATAAAAAAAATACACCCAACCCATTATTGTTCTGGATAATGCATTCTATCACAGTCGATTAAAAATATATTATAGACGAGTTGGCCCGAGAAAAAGGAATTGAAATTCTCAGATTGCCTCCTTAACACGCAGAGTTCAATACCATTGAACTGAACTGGACACTATTAAAAGGTTATGTTTCTCGAAACAAATACATTTATATTACCCGATGTGCGAAATTTGTTTTTGAAGGTAGTTTCACATGTAAATGGAGAATAATGAAGAAAATGCATTTTGGAAAGTGGATATAGCAATGGAAAACTTAATAGACCCTATAATAAACCTCAGAAAAGACAATGATAATGATACCAGTAGTTATAATGAAGACAGTGATTTTTAAAGATAGTTAATGCCATTAACAACATATATCCTTCTTGTTATTTATTGGTTAAATTTAACTCGTTCAATGTTAAAGTGCAACAATTCTATCAGATGCATATGATTTATTTTTATTTTTTGTAATTAATATAACTTTTTTCATTCAAAATTTAATCTACGAGGTGGGTATATACCATTTTATATGCCGTGATCTCATTTATATTATAGAAACTTATTTTTTAAAGTACTCCTATGGAATGTGACGTTATATCCCCACTTTTCCTACACTCATTTTATTCAAACTATAGAAACATTTTTTGCGAATCACTACATATTTTTTCTTTCTTTGCATATAAGAGGACTAGTTGATCAGTGGACAGTTTAAAAGTTATGCGCGACGAATAACTTGCTATTCCACTGTTCCACTGGATCTCGGACGGTTTGCTACAAATTTTTAAGAAACTCTAACAAACCCATTTGTTTTGGTTCACGTTCTAGAATTGTTCCAGAACTATTGCGCAATTTTCCTAAATTCTAAACAGTTCTGTAACAATTTCATTTGTACTCGACCCAAACACGGCCAGAACAGTTAAATGTCAAAAAGTAAATTATAAATAAAGAAGATATAACACAGGGTCAGTGTCTAAGTAAGAAAGGAGCCATGTAATATTGTAAAACGTAGATACTCTAATGTGAGCCATTTCATTATTCAGTCATGCTTTAATCCTCCCTCTCTGTCTTATTTGGCCTTTGAGGCTCAACTTGTCCGATTATCATACATAATTAAACCCCTTAAGACCAAACATATGTGACGACTATGGTGGAGGTACTTTCGCGAACATTCCTGAGTCATCGTGATAATGTTTCTAGTGTATTGGTGAGAATTGGTGAACTTTCTAGCACCTTCGCCAAACTTTTAAATTTGTATATAAATATTGGTGGAGGACCAAGCAATCATTAAATATATGAGGAGTGACTAAGCTAAACGCGATAAATCCATTTTTTGAATATTTTGAGTTAGCAGTCAATATCACTTATTAGGGACCAAATACATCCCATGCAAACCTCTTACTTTTTACATTCATGTGTACAAGCAATTTCAACATAAATTTTTAGCTCAACTAAAAAAAGCTTATATTTCCCAGGTTTTTTACATTTTTTGTAAAATAAGACATTTGTGATTTATCGCGTTTAGCTTAGTCGCTCCTCATATGGACAGTGAAGATAAATAGTGAACAATTTAAAGACATTCAAAATATAAATAAATTATAATAAGTGTTATAAAATAAATAAGTGTTTAAATAAATTATTAATAAATAAACTGTTGTTTAAAATAAACAAACATCACAATACATTCAATAATTGATTCATAAAAAAACTTAAAGCCTAAGATCAACTAATCAACTGCTCCATTCTCATTATTCATTCGAAAATTCCTTGTAAAAATTCCAACACAAAACACGGCCAGGATCCCAAAAACAAAACTACTTGCAAAAAAGCGCAAGCGCAAATATATCAATTCTGAAAGAGTTCTCGCTTTGGGCCAGAACCGGAGTTACTATTCCAGAATGGTTACGAAAACATTCTCAAGAAAAACACAGAACTTATAGGTTCGTAACTAGTTCTAGCGAAACCAAAACAGATTTAAAGGTTCTGGAAGAGTTCTGGAATAGTTACGTAAAGGCTTGTTTTGGTTCTTTCACGAACTAATTCAGCTCAGTAGGTTGGTTAGTATTAGTTGATTACGTATTCTTGAAAAATGAATTCGTCAACTGTATTCGATAACTGGAATGGACGGTTCTGTTTGAACCAAAACAAACCCAAAGTGAATCAAAACAAAGCTGTTGTCACACCTCATCAATACGTTCCAGTGAGACCACAGTCGTTAAAAAGAAAAGGAAGATAATCTACGTAGGTTCTACATATCTCTAGTCAGAAATACAGAAATACTCAAAATAATCATGATGCAATTTTGTAAAATAAATAAAAACCATAAGACGCATGTAATTTGGGTGAATCTATGATAGTGTACGCATTTAGAAAAT